GCATTGCCTTTGAAGATCTTTGAATCTTTCCCAAGCCTCGTAAAGGGGCTCATTTGGATTTTGCTTGAAATTTTGTATCATCCGCCTGATCTTTGCGGTTTTGGAAGGCGGGAAGAATCTTTTGAGAAATTCTCCGTGAAGCTGGTCCCATGTTGTGAAATGATTGTCTGGAAATGAATCCAGCCAGCTTTGAGCTCTGTCCCTTAGAGAGAATGGGAACAGACGGAGCCTGATTGCATCAGCTGGCACACCATTGATTTTGAACGTATTGCATGCTCGGAGGAATTTGGTGATATGGTTGTGTGGGTCCTCCGTTGGTCCTCCACCAAACTGATCAGATGAGACCATGTGGATGACAGCAGGTTTGATTTCAAAGTTGTTTGCGGTGACATCTGGCAGAATAATGCTGTTGTGTTCCGCCACAGGAGGAGTGACATAGTCAGAAAGAGTCCTCCTGTTCGGAACTTCATTTTGTCTTCTCTGAATTCCTTGCACATTTTCAAGAACATCGTTCCGTGGGACTTCTATTTTTTTTCTTTTTCTTATTTCTTTCAAATATTTTTCAATTTCTGGAAAGAAAAATTTTTCTTGATTAATCCCACGGGAACGAGTTAGCATAAAAAGAAAGGGATTGGGGAGGTTTAGAGAGAGAGAGGGGCAAGGGGAAAGGGAAATAGAAGGAAAATAAAAAAAGGGGGGGGGGAAAGGGAAAAATTGAAAAGAGAAGGGAAAGGGGGAAAGGAAAAGAGAAAAAAAAATGTAATGTGCAAAAATTAATAAAAAGACTCTCACTTAAGTCAAGAGGTAAAAACCACCGAGACAAGTGATACCTTAGTTAGTAGTTAGTGGTTAGAGTGCCAAGCAGTAATAAACCAACGAGGACACTAAAAAAAACAAAAGAGTTAGTAATAATATATAATATATAATATATAATCAGTAATATATAATATATAATATATAATATATATAGCATATATAATATATAATATATATAATATATAATATATAGTAGATATAATATATAATATATAGTATATAGATATAATGTCCAATAGCGGCTTTGCATGCCTGGAAAGAAAGAAAAAAATGCAGAAATGTAAAGTGCAGTAATTAAATGTACAAACCCTGACCGGCTTTGCCGGTCAGCGGGCAAAATAAAGAAAGAAAGAAAAATGTCCAATCACCGTTGGCGGAAAATCCGACCTGTGGGATAGTTCAATATGTCCAAGTATGTCCAATATGTCCAAGTCAATATGTCCAAGTCCAATAAGTGTTCAAGAGTAAAGGAACTCAAAGGATTTTTTTTCAGTTTTTTTTTTGGTTATTTTTTTTTTGTTTTAGTTTGTTTTAGTTTGTTTTTGTTTTTGTTTTTTTTAGTACCTGCAAGAAGAGGTTAGGAAAACAAAATAATAACAAATATTTACAACAAATAAACAATAAAACTTATGTTTAAAATAAAAAACTCAAACCGTTTCCCCGGCAACGGCGCCAAGTTGATTTGCAGTATAGAATGGGCAAAAATAACAACTAAAAAGAATCCCTTGTAAGTAGGGTGTCGAACCTCAGGCAGACGTGAGTTAATTTAATTTAAACAAAAGTTTACAAAAGAAGTTGTAAATTATTTTGGTCTTTTTGGTTTTAAAGATAAAATAAAAAGTATAAAAGAAGAGAGTTCCAAACAACACAAAGTTTTTGATGATAAAAAGTTAGGGGTAGAAATTGGTAAATTAATTGTCCAATGTTTTTATAAAAGTTGGATTGTCAATTTATTTTTATATAGAGTGTGTGGGGTTGCAGAAAAGTATTTAGGGACGCTCTCGCAGTTCACCCAAAATAATAACCACTCCGAATTTAATACGCTAATGATAAATCCGGAGTAATTATTTAATAACAGCGGCAACCATAATTATTTTATTGTATGTTTACCCAATTTAATGGTGTAAAAATACAACTCAATAATTATGTCCACCCGAAAATCTTCAATCCCGGTTAAAGGTAGAGAAAACATACGGTGTAATTAAAAAGTGTTCTATTTTATGATTATTTCAATTTTAGCTCATATTCCTTTTAACAATTATGTTTATGATTG